CATCCATTAAGAGTCATAATACTAATATGATATACATTGGGTCTACGAAGAATGAATTTAAAGCCAGCTGGAGGCAGCATAAGTGCTCTTTCAACAATATAAATAAAAGAAATCAGACTTCTCTATCTAAATATTTTTGGCATTTGAAGGAAATGAATAGGACACCTAAAGTAAAATGGAAAATTATAAACAGGACTAGAACTTGTAAAACTTGGGATGACCCATGCCCTTTGTGCCTACATGAGAAACTGCACATTATTAAGTTTCTAAATAATAAAAATCTATTAAACAATAGACAGGAGTTAACGGTTTTTTGCCGACATCATCAAATTTTTGCATTGAATAATTAGTATAAAAACGAACATACAATAAAATATTTTTTATAATCCATAGCCCTAATAAATAGTTTAAATACCCTACAAAAAAAGATAACCCTTTATGAAGTCGTCAAAAACCAAATGTTAGGGCAGTTTTTTGTATTTTTTTATATATATACACAAAACTTAGACACCCATTACCTTACCCTGACTTGACATCTATGAATGTAACTCTATACTGATACAAATTATTAACACCCAACACCCCTCCCTATTTAAACAATCGCTCTGGCTGTTATCATGGAAATTTTGATTTCAATAATGAATATGCTATTAAAACACGTAAATTTCAGAAATAAGTTGTTCCAAAAAAAATTTCGCTTGAAGATGGAACAGAGCTTACTTTAATTCAATTTAATTCAAATAATTATATTGAAGTTTTCGGCTCTTGTTTTGAAACACGAGACCTCTTATGTAGCGTGTTGGAATCATATTTTTAAATAAATAATTATATTTATGCTCTAATTTTGTATCGAGCACTATTTTTTTTAAAATAATAACAAAAATACTAAAGAGCTTTGGATTATTTACCTTACGAGTTCTTTTCTTATTTTCTATATATTTTCACACACACACACACACATATATATATATATATATATATATATATATATATATATATTGTGTGTGTATTTAAGCATCAATTTTTCATTGATGCATGTTTCATTAAATAATACAGATAAGTTTTGCCTATTTATTTTAAGTAAGTTGCATTAGTACTAATTGTATTAGTTCTTACAATGTTGTAAATATAAAATTATTCTTGTAAACTAGCCGAATGACTCGCCCCTTTCTTCTTGCCGTATATATTTCTGTAATAAAATGAAGATTGATTTTAAATCACTGTTATAATGTATATATATATATATATATATATATATATATATATATATATATATATATATTTTAAGCATTACGCCCCAAGCAAGGCGTGAAGCCACTAGGATGCAGGGGGGTTGCGGAAGATTTGGAGCGAGAGCAGATAGGAGTGATAGAAGAAAGGGCGAGGAGAAGGATAGTGGATAGATCAAGGTAACTGGAGGTGTCGGTTGACATTACATTTGAATAGTTGGAGATTATAGCTCTCAGGGAAACAGTAATTGGGGAGGGTGTTCCACTGGCGAGAGGTGCGAGGTATGAAGCTATTGAAGTAGAAGAGACGGCTACATTTAGAAGTTTCTACAGTGTAAGGGTGGGAGCGGGATGCCAGCCTCGTAGGGCGCTTGAATTCATGGAGTCTTGGAACCAGAGAAAGCAGCTCATTGGAGCAATTACCATGAAAGTATTTGTAGAAAAGACAGAGAGAGGCGACGGTGCGTCTGTGAGAGAGTGACTGCATATTATGCGCCGTTTGTTGAAGTCTGATTTTTTCACTCAGTAGTGTAGGAATTTTGAGCGTGTTTATGGGGAGCTTATCTGGCCACAAATCCGTATGAAATGAACCGGAAAATCAGGCCAAGCCCAAATACAGGAACTTTTTTTAGGGACAGAGAGATCGGCGACAGATCACCATCACAGCTCTGAAGGGATATGAAGAACCTTTCCGGTAGCAACTCTATGGATGAAATCCTACTACAAAGATAGTGGCTAAATAAGCTACCCAGAGACACGGTCAAAGTTCTCACACCACTGACCGAAAAACCAGAGATCAACATGTCAGCTGAAACGGCGGATAATATATATATATATATATATATATATATATATATATATATATATAGCAAAGTAAAGCTAAAGAGCCAGACAAACCTACCTAGGTTTCACCTACGCGGATCGTCAGGCCAAATTGTTTTTTTCTTTTTTACTCTTTTTTTCCGTTGGGTATTGGTTTGTTGATTTACAAGCTAAAACACCTAAGGTTTTGCCGGACGAGTACTACTGATTATATTGATAAGGTTATTAGTATTATATATATATATATATATATTAAAGACATTTTTATGTTTAACGTTCTTTTTTATAGATACAAGTATTTAAGTAAATGCTCTGTTTATAATAAACAGTATTAAATAACATTTACCGGCCTGAATGTCCGAGAAATTTTCATAGAAAATATTCGTCCTTTGACAGGATTCGAATATAATCAGTAGTACTCGTCCGGCAAAACCTTAGGTGTTTTAGCTTGTAAATCAACAAACCAATACCCAACGGAAAAAAAGAGTAAAAAAGAAAAAAACAATTTGGCCTGACGATCCGCGTAGGTGAAACCTAGGTAGGTTTGTCTGGCTCTATACGGAACCGTCATTTACGCTGACGTGCCTAACCTCTCGGCCACAAAGGAGCGTTCGGTAGACAAGGTCGAATTTACTGCTTATAAACTTCAATCTTCCATGAATCTCGTACATTCATAACTGCTCTGGCGTATCAAATGTAAACAAATGACGTCATATATTAAGAAATGGACAAAGTCCGACAATTTATTTATTAAAGACATTTTTATGTTTAACGTTCTTTTTTATAGACAAAAGTATTTAAGTAAATGCTCTGTTTTATAATAAACAGTATTAAATAACATTTACCGGCCTGAATGTCCGAGAAATTTTCATAGAAAATATTCGTCCTTTGACAGAATTCGAACCTGCATCCTAAGGACGAATATTTTCTATGAAAATTTCTCGGACATTCAGGCCGGTAAATGTCATTTAAAACTGTTTATTATAAAAACAGAGCATTTACTTAATTACTTGTATCTATAAAAAGAATGTTAAACATAAAAATGTCTATAGATAGATATATACATATATAAACATATATAGCGAATGTCTAATGTAGGCAGTTTGATTTTATAGATCTCTATCAGTCAGACAGGATTTCGGCTTGATAAACACTAAACGTTTATATTAAAGAAAAAAAAGGAATTTTGGATTCCTCCTATGTTTTTTAAAATATTGACGCCTCCTTTTTCTCCACTTACCACCCAATATATATATATTTTATATATATATATATATATATATATATATATATATATATATATATCGAGCGAAGTAAAGCTAAAAGAGCCAGGGAAACCTATCTAGTTTTCACCTACACGGATCATCAGGGTAGACTGGTTCTTTCTTTTTTTCCCCTTTTTTTTTCCCTTGGGTATTGGTTTCTTGATTTACAAGCTAAAACACCTAAGGTTTTTCAGGACGAGTACTACTACTAATATTGACAAGATTATTAGTATTATTTTAGCTCTAGGTTACTCTATTGAGCACTTTATAAAATTAACTATCATGGAACGTTTTAATATAGGATACTCATTTAAAAACATACCGGTACCTAATCGACATTCGTATGAATTATGTTTAAAAACCTTGACTGCAAACATGAGATGGAAGGCTTACTTCTTTTTGAACAATAGCAAAAGTAAGCACTAAACCAATGAATCTTATGGTTTCAAGGCTTAATGTCCACCCTCCCCATATTAAGCAATTAACCCTGACGATCCGCGTAGGTGAAACCTAGGTAGGTTTGTCTGGCTCTTGAGGTTTACTTTGCTTTATTTGCTCTACTTAGCGTATTGAGCATTTTGGTTAGTTATTTGACTTTACTCGTATCGGAGGTTTTTTTTTTCTTTAGACTCTGAACTTAGATTCTAGACGATTATTTTCGCCGGAAGCACATGTTCTTATTTCTTTCTTTTTTTTTCCCCCTTTTTTTCCATTGGGCGTTGGTTTGTTCATTTACAAGCTAAAACACCTATGGTCTTGCCGGACAAGTATAGCTGCTTATATTGATAAGATTATATTAGTGTATATATATATATATATATATATATATATATATATATATATATATATATATATATATATATAAAAGAAAAAGGTTGTAGTGGTTCCAATGAGAGAAAAGTATGTATATTAAAAAAAAGAGAAGAGGTGCCGCAAACGTTTTTTTGGTTGTAAAATATTATGATTTATTTTCCATAAAGCATAATATTTTTTTTAAAATAAAAAAAAAAAAAACACACACACATTACAACCAAAAACTTTTGAGGCACCTCTCTTATCTTCTTTTTAATATATATATATATATATATATATATATATATATATATATATATATATATATATCGCAGAGCCGAGTTCGAATTCCTGTCGAATCCATTACATTCACTTACGTGCTAATACCCTTGGGAAAGGTATGAATCCTCTTCTTCTCCCTCCAGCTATGGGTTAAATAGCAGGGCAGACTGGGTTCTATAGCCTTGAATGGCAACTGGTCTAGGAGAAGGACATCTCTGAATTCAAAACCTGCGGAGGGTCGTTTGGGAACCTCGTGGCATTCGGTGCACCAGGTCTCTGTATTCGTCACTCCAAAACGTGTGGATGGTCCTGCACGAGGCCTTCACTACTATAATCAAATCTCATGTGCCGGTGTCGGGCTGTCGGTTTCCTGGAAACTAATCTGCTTGACCCTCATACGTCGAATCTCGACGGGAGAGTCGATTATATATATATATATATATATATATATATATATATATATATATATATATATATATATATATACGTGATGTCCATGTCACATGCAGCATCAACACTTCAACGATGACCGAAAAATTAAAGATGGACAGGTTGAAGGCAATGATTGAAAAAATGGCGCTGAGCATTAACCAACTTGTTCACGAGAGATATGCATCACGACGGGGTCACCAATGTTGATCTCAAGGTTAGACGTTGGTTCGTGTTGAAGAAACGAACTTGTACGCTTGTTTAGATAAATGACTTATAATTTATTTTTATGTTGTGTCGTTAGATCTATATGTTTTCTAATAAATGTGTAAAATAGGCTTTAAATTGTTATCTCTGACTAAGGGTAAATTGTGTTTATTCCGCTACAAATTCGTGGAATAAGGGAACAATACTTTAAACTAAAAATGCTCAATTGAGCATCCATAAAAAATAGTCACGCATTCATCACAGTAGGAAATTTATATCAATTTGTCTTTATGTCGAAAGCAATACATTAGTTTTTTTCTTTCTTTTCATGCATAAATGCTTCGGTCTCTTTATATCTATCTATTCTGTTGCTCTAGTCTATTCTTATCTATCTACCTATGTATTTATCTGATTCTATTCCGATCAATCTAAGTCTATTCCGATCTGTTCTCAGTCATTTCCTATCTATCTATCTATCTATCTATCTATCTATCTATCTATCTATCTATCTATCTATCTCAGTCAGTTTACATCTATCTATCTATTTATCTATCTTTCTATTTATCTCAGTCTATTTCGATCTAAGTCTATTCCTATCTATTCTCAGCCAATTCCTATATATATATATATATATATATATATATATATATATATATATATATATATATATATTTCAGTCTGTTTACATTTATCGATCTATCTCAGTCTACTCCGATCTAAGTCAATTCCTGTCTATCTATCCTCAGTCAATTCCTATCTATCTATCTATCTATCTATCTATCTATCTATCTATCTATCTATCTATCTCAGTCTGTTCATATCTATCTTAGTCTGTTCTATCTATCCCAGTCTATTCCGATCTATCTATTCTCAATCAATTCCTATCTATCCACCTATCTCAGTCTATTCCTATCTTTCTAAGTCTATTCCTATCTATCTCTCTATCTATCTATCTATCTATCTAAATCTCTTTCTATCTATCTATCTATCTATTCTATCTATCTATCTATCTATCTATCTATCTATCTCAGTGTATTCTTATCTATCTATATTTCTATTCATATCTCTATCTATCTATCCACGTCTATTCCTATCTATCTATCTATCTATCTATCTATCTATCTATCTAAATCTCTTCTTATCTATCTATCTCAGTGTATTCTTATCTGTCTATCTATCTATCTATGTATCTATATTTCTATTCATATCTCTATCTATTTATCCAATTCTATTTCTATCTATCTATCTATCTATCTATCTATCTATCTATCTATCTATCTATCTATCTATCCACGTCTATTCCTATCTATCTATCTATCTATCTATCTATCTATCTAAATCTATTCCTATCTATCTAAATCTATCTATCTATCTATCTATCTATCTATCTATATTTCTATTCATATCTCTATCTATCTATCCATGTCTATTCCTATCTATCTATCTATCTATCTATCTAAATATATTCCCATCTATCTATCCCAGTCTATTCTTATCATCTATCTATCTATCTATCTATCTATCTATCTATCTATCTATCTATCTATCTATCCACGTCTATTCCTCTCTATCTATCTATCTATCTATCTATCTATCTATCTGAGTCTCTTATCTTATCTATCTATCTATCTATATTTCTATTTATATCTCTATCTATTTATCCAAGTCTATTTTATCTATCTATCTATCTATCTATCCACTATCTATCACGTCTATTTCTATCTATCTATCTATCTATCTATCTATCTATCTATCTATCTATCTATCTAAATCTATTCCTATCTATCTAAATCTATTCCTATCTATCTATCTATCTATCTATCTAAATCTCTTCTTATCTATCTATCTCAGTGTATTCTTATCTATCTATCTATCTATCTATCTATCTATCTCTCTATTCATATCTCTATCTATTTATCCAAGTCTATTTCTATCTATCTATCTATCTATCTATCTATCTATCTATCTATCTGAGTCTCTTCTCTTATCTATCTATCTATCTATCTATATTTCTATTTATATCTCTATCTATTTATCCAAGTCTATTTCTATCTATCTATCTATCTATCCACGTCTATCACGTCTATTTCTATCTATCTATCTATCTATCTATCTATCTATCTATCTATCTATCTATCTATCTATCCTCAGTGCCAGTTACAATGTGAGGGGAAGTGTATGCTTGCAAAATTGTAGATAAGGGACAAACGAAAAATGAAACAAAGCTATAAATTTATACCTTGTGTTCCTTTTCAGTTCAAGGGTAATTTCAGAGTACAAACATTCATTTAATTGCTAATTAATCTAGTTACCGAGAAAATAAAACAGCAACAACAACAACAACAATATATCTGTTTCCGCTCGCCCGATGTTATTAATGGCCGTGCCATTCGATAAAATTGTTTGTTCGTTGTACGATCTTTCTTGGTGGTCATGAGATCAGATCACACATATAGATTTCATTCAACTGATAATAGACCACCGTGCTATAGAAAATAAATAAATAAAAGTGTGGCCTCTAAGCGCTTGTTTCATAAAATATACTAACAATACGGCTATTCTCGTCCAGGGTCCTATAAACTATGGCCGGCAGAAAAAAAATTGTTTCTTTATATTGTTATATTTTTTTTTATCATATCATGGTGAATGTAAAAGAAGATTTTTTTTTAATCATTTCACCCCAAGGAAGGCTGCTAGGAAATTGGTCCCGGCTTTCCCGCATCAAAGGGTTGAGATTAAAAATAGGGTTGAGGTTTAAATTTTTTGCGAAAAAACGTAAGTAAAACTGCAAGATTAGAGCAGAAAAACTCTCTCTTTTAGGCGCGGACAAATAAAGAAAAAACTCCTGCTCGGTGAGTAACAACAAAAGAAGAAAATGTTTATTTACAACATATACAGAAAAAAAAAAGGTAAAGGGATAAAAGGACAATTAGGAGAGAAAGAAAAGGAAAAAGAGAAAACGTTCTTAACTTAAAAAGGCTTGCTCAAAATATTTCTTTGAGCGCCTAAAGAGGTCTTTAAGCGATTAGATTTTATTGTTAAAGTTCTGATTGAAACACTCACAGTTCTTGTCGAGTTGGAAATTTGTTCGCAGATGAAGGAAGCCTGCAGCTGAGTGAGTTTTTTGGTCGACGACAGAAGTCCAGTGGGCTCGTCAGAATTAATGGTGAAGGGATGCAGCTTTTTGGATTGGTCTTGAATAGTGGACCGACGTTCGTTTTTGAAAGCCCTTTTTAGTAGTTCTTCTTTGGTGAAAGAGGTGCTGGAGCTTCCTATCATCGACCTCACAGACGGTGGGCAGAAATCTCACTGTCGAAATAGGCAAGATTCTCCAAATTTATGGAGTTTTGGTAGGCTCCGATGGATCGGGGACTTTTCCCTCCAAAATCGTTGTACAAATTTCTTGGTCCCTCTATTGGTCAGAAAACACATTCTTATCTCTGATAAGAATCAGGGCCCTGGGAGTCGGTTTCGAAGGCACTGAAAACAGGTTGAAGTGAAGAATCTGTGAGGTTTCTCGCAGACCTTATGGCACCATGGAAAGAATAATGGTGGTGGAATTCCTTTTTATTTTCCAGCTCTTTCCTTAGCCAGAAAATATATTTTTATCTCTGATAAGAATCAAGGCCTTGGGAGCCGGTTTTGAAATTAAAAAGAGGTTGGAGTGAGGATAGAAAAAAATAGCGAGAACGTGAACTTGTGAAATTGTTGTTCTCAAATTAAATTCTAACAAGGCAACAAAGCAACTAAGACTTTTTTTAGAGAGTATGTGAAAAAAAAAAAGAAAGAAAGATGCTCAAGGTGAGAGAACCATAAAAGTACAGGAATTAAGAAGACAGAAGATAGCGATTGGCACTGCCATTAAATTTTTGACGACTAAAGTTGACTTGTAAGTTAGAAGAGAGTTCCGCAAGCGATATGTGCGATAGAAGAAACTGTTGACATAGGACTTACGGCTACATCTAGCCATTTCAACTGTAAAAATGATGATAATCTTGCCGCCTATCTTGTACAGCGCTCAAAAGTCTAGGTACCTTAGAGGATATTTCGTCCGAACAGTTACCGCCAACTTATAGAAAAGGTGAATAAAATTTAATTTCATTATAGAAAAGGTGAATAAAATTTAATTTCATTATAGAAAAGGTGAATAAAATTCAATTTCATTCATCAATTTAGATTCTGTTGATCATCTTTATTTCAAGCGAACTCGAAAATTATTAACTAGCTTCTTCCATGCTTCCATGATCGATTCCAGCCTGACTTCCGGATAAGGCATGGCGGGAAACATTCTTTGTTGGCCCACATGATGAGCAATGTGGTCGGAAGAATTCAATTCATGTTTTTGAAATTACTTTCACACTTACATTGTAAGTACCAGTCACTACTAGTCAACACAATCTTTACTGAAAACCGTAGTATTCATCTAACTAGAATTGGTTGGATCAAGCCATTGTAGTTGTCGCTTAATATCTATCGGGAGAATTCGATTTATTCGTCATGTTTTTTTTTTAATGGCTTTCACACTTACATTGTAAGTACAAGTCAGTACTAGTCATCATGACTAAACAACCGCAGTGTTTATCTAACTATAATTGGTCGACCCACGACATTTACTATGTTACTTATCATTCACCATCGATCATTGCATATCAAGTCAGTGTATCGACCTGTTAATGCGTTGCCTATCTATGCAACTGGAGAACTTCTGTTCTGTCAATAATGATTGCAAGCATTCCTGACCACTGAAAATCCTTTTAATTCTCGGTTTCAATGCATTTTTATCATAAAATAATTTTCAAAGAATTTACAATTTCTTCTTATTTGGAGCAAACACAAACACCATTAACCGGTTTCGTTCATTCCTCCCTATCTTAATCCATGCGATGAGCAATGTGTTTTGAAGAATTGTATTTACTAGTCAGATTGTTTTTCAGTTGATTTCGCACTAATATTGCAAGTACGAGTCAACACTAGACAACACAATTCTTACTGAAAAACCGTACACTATTTACATTGTTCGCACTATCATCCTCATCTTTGTTGCCATATTTATCACAACGTTTCGGCCGTTTCAAGAACACATGGCATAAAGGCGTTAGATAGATCCAGTGACAAGACCCAAAGAGTGTGAGTTCTATACCCGGTTAAGGCAGTGGAAAACTCGGAGAGGGGAATTAACAGATAATTGACAACTGACATTCATTAAAAACATGGCACGTGGAACTAGAACAGTCTACTCCAGTGAGCGAAATAAAGGGTTCAGTTGGACATTGCAAATTATTTGAAGAAGTGCCGGAGCGTACAACAGCCGAAACGTTGTAATAAATATGGCGACAAAGATGAGGACAATAGTCCGAATAATGTAAATAGTGTACATAATACCTCATCTCTGAAATATAGACAGATACTGTAAGGCTGAAACGTTGTAATAAATATGGCGACAAAGATGAGGACAATAGTCCGAATAATGTAAATAGTGTACATAATACCTCATCTCTGAAATATAGACAGATACTGTAAGGCTGAAACGTTGTAATAAATATGGCGACAAAGATGAGGACAATAGTCCGAATAATGTAAATAGTGTACATAATACCTCATCTCTGAAATATAGACAGATACTGTAAGGCTGAAACGTTGTAATAAATATGGCGACAAAGATGAGGATAATAGTCCGAATAATGTAAATAGTGTACATAATACCTCATCTCTGAAATATAGACAGATACTGTAAGGCTGAAACGTTGTAATAAATATGGCGACAAAGATGAGGATAATAGTCCGAATAATGTAAATAGTGTACATAATGCCTCATCTCTGAAATATAGACAGATTCTGTAAGGCTGAAACGTTGTAATAAATATGGCGACAAAGATGAGGATAATAGTCCGAATAATGTAAATAGTGTACATAATATCTCATCTCTGAAATATAGACAGATACTGTAAGGCTGAAACGTTGTAATAAATATGGCGACAAAGATGAGGACAATAGTCCGAATAATGTAAATAGTGTACATAATACCTCATCTCTGAAATATAGACAGATACTGTAAAAGGCTGAAACGTTGTAATAAATATGGCGACAAAGATGAGGATAATAGTCCGAATAATGTAAATAGTGTACATAATACCTCATCTCTGAAATATAGACAGATACTGTAAGGCTGAAACGTTGTAATAAATATGGCGACAAAGATGAGGATAATAGTCCGAATAATGTAAATAGTGTACATAATACCTCATCTCTGAAATATAGACAGATACTGTAAGGCTGAAACGTTGTAATAAATATGGCGACAAAGATGAGGACAATAGTCCGAATAATGTAAATAGTGTACATAATACCTCATCTCTGAAATATAGACAGATACTGTAAAGGCTGAAACGTTGTAATAAAATGGCGACAAAGATGAGGATAATAGTCCGAATAATGTAAATAGTGTACATAATACCTCATCTCTGAAATATAGACAGATACTGTAAGGCTGAAACGTTGTAATAAATATGGCGACAAAGATGAGGATAATAGTCCGAATAATGTAAATAGTGTACATAATACCTCATCTCTGAAATATAGAGAGATACTGTAAGGCCGAAACGTTGTAATAAATATGGCGACAAAGATGAGGATAATAGTCCGAATAATGTAAATAGTCTACATAATACCTCATCTCAGAAATAAAGAGAAATACTGAAAAAACCGTAGTATTCAGCTAAATAAAATTGGTTGATTGATGCCATTTGTTACAGTTTTTTGGGTACTTTGTGTACTAGTGAGACAGTCAAAATGAGCTGACTCCCTTTATAGTTCACCAATAGAAGGCTTAACCAATCAGAAGGCCCAAAATATTCAATGCGACGTGTATAAAGGCAGCCATGTTTTTTCCCGACTATGCATTGCCAGCCTTTGATATCGAAGACTGAAGAATTACGGAACCACTGCTGGTGAGTGTTAATCTTTAACGTTGTTTCATTGAACAGATTACGTACTGCACTGTATTCTATATTCATAGACTTGGCGAAGATGGTCAACACCATTAACCGGTTTCATCCATTTCTCTCTGTTTTAATCCATGAGATGAGTAATGGGTTTTGAAGAATTGTATTTACTAGTCAGATTGTTTTTCAGTTGATTTCACACTAATATTGTAAGTACGACTCAGTACTAGTGAACACAATTCTTACTGAAAACTGTAGT